TACGACTACGACTACGACTACGACTACGACTACGACTGATACTATTAGTATTCGTACTACCACTACTACTACTACTACTCCTACTACTACTACTACTACTTCTACTACTACTCCTACTACTACTACTGCTACTACGACTACGACTACGACTACGACTATTACGACTACTACGACTACTACGACTACGACTACGACTACGACTGATAGAACTAGTACTCTTAGTATTAGTACTACTACTGGTACTACTAGTAGTAGTAGTACTACTACTACTACTACTACTACTACTACTACTACTTCTACTACCACTACTACTACTACTACTGCTACTACTACTGTTAAGATTACGAGTACTACTGCTACGAAGAGGAGCACGATATTATCATTGTTCTCATTATCATCATCTACAACGGCTGCGACTACTACCTTCCCATTTTCCTTCGGCCTCACGTGCAATTTTCCAGGGCTTACTATTGCAGGGACAAGCCCGAGATGACCCCCCACACACGAGGACTTGAACACCTTTCTGAATTCGCATTCTTCCTAAAAGGAATTTGAGAAGTTTGCAATGTTGTTTTTATTCGAAATCCCTCCCTCTCCTCCTCCCTTCTTCCTTCCTCCTTCCTCCCGCCCCTATGCTGCGACCAGCCGGGGAACAGTTTATCATCCTCCCTGGACCCCGATTTTTGGTTTTCCCACCCTGTGAATCTCAGGGACACAGGGTTAGCCTTTTGGTGCACGGTTGCCCTCAGTCACGCTCCCCTAGGCGCTGACACTGCCGCCGACCAGATTCGGGCTGAGACGGTGGTCGACACACTCGGGGACGGCCTCGATGAAACCACACCTGAGGACCTGTTGCCGTACATGCACCGAGGCGGGCGTTCACAGAGGCTCGCAGGCTCCGTGGTCCGAACCGCCACCCCGGCCATCCCCATGCTGCTCCACCCTTGACTCGGCCGCAATACTTGGAGGTGGATGCTGATGGGACCGGCTTGGCTTCCGCGCCCGAGGGTGTCAAGCGACGATGCTAAAACGACCCGGAGATCGGGACAAAATCGGATCGGGATAACTCGAAATCTCTGAGGATCGGCGGGTTTGGAGGATGTATTGGGCGCCGCGGCCGCTCCAGAGCGTTCCGGAGCGCTCTGAGAGCGCTCCGGAACGCTCTGGAGCGATTTATCCCGATCCTAGCCCTGTTTTAGATGCCAAGGCCGCGCGAGACGCGCGCTTCTGCCGCGCACGCCGGCAACGCTGCCGGACCTCGCGCACCGACCGGCCCCCAGAGCCCCTCACGGAGGTGGCCGTGCTAAGTGAGGCCCCCCGGCCCCCCCGTTGCTCGACCGGGGCCGCGCGCACGGGCCAATGGCAGTGGCATTTGACGGAGGAGCTCGCTCCATTGACAACCGGCGGCTCCTCCTCCTCCTCCTCCTCCTCCTCCTCCTCCTCCACCTCATCCTCCTCCTCCTCCACCTCATCCTCCTCCTCCTCCTCCTCCTCCTCCTCCTCCTCCTTCTCCTCCTCCTCCTCCTCCTCCTCCTCCCCGTCCGGGGCGGTGGCCAGGGCGGGCGCCTTTCTGTGGCAGCGCGCGCCAGGCGGAGGGCCGCCCGTGCGGCCCGCCGCACGCGTCGTCGCGATCCCCTGGTCAGACAACGCCCAGCTGGCCGACGCCACGGGGTGCAGAGCAGGATTTGGCACGCCTGCTGGCCCCCGCGCCCCCAAGCGCGCGGGGTGCCCGGATGGTCGGAAGCAACTTGGCTGCCATTCGGTACGGCGCCCGCGCGGGGAAGTATCGCCGCCCTCCCCTGGCCACCCAGATGGACCTGGGCAGGTGCGACTTCCCGCTCGAGGCCTCTGGACCAGGGGGCAGTCCCAGCGAGCCTGGCGGCCACCAACAGAAGCCTGCGCCACCTGCGCTCTCCCCACAGGCTACAGGCCCCGCGGTGGGGCTGCTGGACAAGGACAGCCCCGCGGCTCTGGGCGCGATCTTTTGGTCTGTCCGCCGCAGGCGCCTCTGCCCGGCGCTGCCTCGGGCCCCCAGCTCTTCGCGACAATGGCGCCAGGTGCGAGCCCGACAGTCGCAGCGCAGTCGCCCGGTGCGACGAGCGCGGCAAGAACTTTGGCCCAGACGGAGGGGCCTGGGTCAGAGGCGAAGTCCGGCCACTCCTCGCCGCCAACCGGGAAGCGACGTGCCGGCGGGGGGGCGCTTTCGTTGGCGATGCGTGGTATGCCAGGGTCGTTTATTCCGGAGGGCGCTGAACTTTCCATTTTCGCGCACGCCCTGGGCGGCCATGAGAAGCTCGACGACCAGCACGCGCGCGGACCCTTCCCGCAGGGATGGATCTTTCGTCGATTCGTAGCCCTCTTGGACCGTTCCGGAAACCTTTGGAACTTTTTTGGCCCGTTTTGGGGCCTTCTGGCGGGTGATGGATTTGCCCCCCCCTCCCCCCCCACACCCCCTCCAAACCGGCCGGACCAGGCCCCCGGGGGAGGGGTTTGGGGAGGGGGAAGCATCTCTCGGGCCGGGCGAAAGGGGGGGATCGGGAAAGGGGAGGCTACGAAATTTTCTGCACGCAGCTGGTTTCGGCCTCACCGAGGGGCCCATTCCTCGATACCTGGCCGCCTCCGGCGCCGGGAGGCGCCGGGACAATCAGCTACGTGCGCTGATTTCTCCCCCCCCCCCCTTGGCTATCCCCCCCTTTCGCCCGACCCGAATCTCACACGCCGCGGCCCCAAGGGGTCGGCGGAGGTTGCAAGTGCGTGAGCACTGTGAGTCGCGGGCGCCGGTCGCGGGTCGCGAGCAGGCCGCCAGTCAGGCCGTCGGCGGGTGGCGCCGCGGGCGGGGCCTGCTTCAAAGGGCGCTGACGCCAGCGTGTCGCGGAGAGTCTGGGGGCGACAACGATGGCAGCGCTGGCGAGAACGCGGCGCTGCCCCCCGCCCCTTTTTTTCCACCGCGCGCCCGAATGTCGCAGGCCTAGAGGTTGACACCAACGCCAAGATCGGCGGTCTGTCTCCACCGAGGGAAGGCGATCCCGATCCCGGTGGTGGTGGTAATACTCTGGCTCCCAAAGTGACCGAAATATTACCACCAACACCGAAATCGAGGATCATTTTCCCCCTGTGGAGGCAGCCCCCTGTGTTGGTGTTGGTGCCAATTTCCGGGCCTCCCAGAATGCGGCGCAAGGCTTTCTGAGCATCAAGCCTTGTATTGGTTGTAGGCTAACTTATCGTTAATCATCTCGACACTGTGTGTCGTGATTGTTGAAACAAAAGGCCGAACGGCCTGACACTGTCTTTGGGTACGCGGCTGCAGCGACATTCCGCGGAGGTAGTTCTTAGTGCCCACCGTACTCTGTCTTAAAATCTTGCCCGCATGTTTGTTGCAGCATCTCGAGAACTGACGCCGTGGAATCGAAGCCCACCCCCCACCCCTCACTCCTATACTCAACGCTGGGGTTACTTTACATGTTGTTCATAACCAGAGCATGCTTACATTCATGTGTATGCATTACTCCCCAACGCTCACTCGCCCAAATAGCGATGACCACTACTCAAGACGTGATGCACAGAAAAAGGCTTAACGACAGCTTCATAAAAGTCAAACTTCCCAGCTACTGGGTCCTCTTTCCCATCCTCTTCTTCTTGCATTGGGGCAATTCGCAATGCCTTTATCCGGCTTGCTAAGCGCGCGTGTGGATTGCCTCTGCCGACTTGCGATGGAAAATGTGCGCGTGTGTGTGTATGGTTGTGTGTGTTTGTGTGTGCGTGCGTGCGTGCGTGCGTGCGTGCGTGCGTGCGTGCGTGCGTGTGTGTGTGTTTGTGTGTGTGTGTGCGTGCGTGCGTGTGTGTGTGTGTGTGTGTGTGTGTGTGTGTGTGTGGACGTCCCTTTTAGGAACTCATCCTCGTGGTGTAGCCAGCGTGGTGCTGGGGCCTCCCAAGGGGGTAGTTGCCGGGGGGGGATGTCACAGGTCCGTTCGCGCTCAGATTGGTTGTATCTTCTAGTAGAGCCGACGTTTTCGGAGGCAGACGTGTCTCATTTCAGATTCGCATGATTTCCGCGCTGTGCCGGGCATTGCGCTTAGGCTTCCCAAGACGAAGCTGTCGGTGCGCCCAGCCTGGTAGGGCCTCTCGAATAGAATGGTCCTTTTCGGAGGTAGGCGCGTCTCTCTTCAGAGTCCTACGATCACGTGACGTTTAAGGCATCATTTGTTTTGACTCCAGGTCGTCTCAGAAGGCCCAATCAGATTTCGGGAGGCTCGCGGCAACCCCAGGAGGCTCCAGCAGGCTCTGGGAAATGGGGGCCTTAGGAGCCTACAGGAGGTCCCAGTACAGTCCTCACATATCCAGACTTGTGCATACTCAATCACACGTATGTGCTAATATTGCGTTCGCGCTCATACCCTCATATTCTGTCGTTCTTATTCGTAGGCACTTACGCTCACACTCATTAACACACAGGTCCACTTCAGGCCCATGTACACTCGGGTGATCATATCCAGACGCGTTTATTCACACCCGCTCTCGCTCAGTCCCTCTTCATTCCAAGTCGCTGATACACCGACTCGCTCACACTAGCCACTCGTACCGTTCCGCTCATACTCGTCATACTCGGACGCACTTATGCCCAGACGCTCATAAGCGAAAGCGCTGGGAAAGACATTCCCCTACAGTTACCTTCGAGCCGAACAGTTTGTTCTGTTCTTAGGAGGTCATGGGGACGAGACGCCGCCTGCCATCTGAGGAGTGGGAAGGGGTTCACCACCAATGCTCCTCCAGTGTTGTGTTCTATCTAAGGATGGCGGGGGGCGTGGGCGGGGTCCTTACGGTTTTGCAGGGTTTTGCGTAAGGGTTGTTGGAGGTCCCTTGGGGGTCGGGGGGGTTCTTCAAAATTTGAGGAGTCGGGGTTTGCGAGGGTTCTTGGCATGTGTCTTGGAAAGTGTGCTCCACCACTCCCGGGGCCGTTTTGAGTGTCTTTAGCCAGCGTCAGAGGTCCGGCTGGGTTCCGTAGTATTTTTGGCTCAGCGTTCAGCGTGCCCTGGCACCAGGTAATACTCCGAGCTTCGTGGGCAGTAGCCCTCCCGTCGCAGCTATGAGCGAGTCGTTGATCTTCCGCGGGGAGCTGAAGGCCCACCGCGGCTGGGTTACCTCCATCGCGACCACCTACGAGCAGAGCAGCCTCGTGGTCTCCGGCTCCCGTGACAAGAAGGTGATGATTTGGGAGCTCACCCCGGAAGGCGAGGCCGTGGGCTATGCTCGCCGGGCCCTCTCTGGGCACTCCGAGCCTGTGGCCAGCGTGGTTCTCTCCTCCGATGGCCAGTTCGCCCTCTCCGGCTCATGGGACCGTACCATGCGGCTGTGGGACTTGAACACTGGCGGAACTGCGCGCACCTTCCAGGGACACGCCAAGGACGTGAATAGCGTGGCCTTCTCGGGTGACAACCGCCAGATCGTGTCAGGCAGCCGCGACCGCACGATCAAGCTCTGGAACACCCTGGCGGAGTGCAAGTACACGATCACTGAAGACATCCACTCGGACTGGGTCAGCTGCGTGGTGTTCTCCCCCTCAGCCAAGATGCCGCTCATCGTGTCCGCTGGCTGGGACAAGCTCGTGAAGGTCTGGAACCTGAGCAACTGCAAGCTGCGCACTAACCTCGTTGGCCACACCGGCGTTGTGTACGTGGCCACCGTCTCACCGGACGGCTCCCTGTGCGCATCTGGCGGCAAGGACGGCACGGCCATGTTGTGGGACGTGAACGATGGAAAGCACCTGTACTCTCTGGACGCGGGTGGCACCATCAACGCGCTGACCTTCAGTCCCAAGAACTACTGGCTGGTCGCAGCGACGGACACCGCGATCAAGGTGTGGGACCTGGAGAACAAGAACGTGCTGGACGAGCTGAACCCCACGTCGCCGCCCAAGAACGGCATCCCCTGGTGCGTGTCGCTGTCCTGGAGCGCCGACGGCAACACGCTCTTCGCGGGCTCCACCAACGGCAGCATCTACGTCTACGAGGTCGGCGCGGAGTGAGGGGGCCACGCGCCCGGGCTGGGCGCCAGGGGCACCCCGGGCGTGCTGGCGGCCAGGTCGCGGCTCTCACCCCCAGAGCCGACTGCCGGCCCTCGGGCCGGAGGAAGGCCCCGCTGGCGCGGGGGGTGGCGCCGCAGCGCGCGAGGCGGAGGAGCGTCGCCGGAGGGCCAGGCCGAGGCAGCGTGGGTCCCCCTGGAGCTCTTCGCCCCGCCTCGGTCTCCCGGAGGGTTCGAGTCGCCCGCGGCAGGATCCGCCTCGGATGGCGGGCCCGTGTTCACTCACCGCCACCACAAGTTGGAGGGGTAGGGGGTCCTCCTCCTCCTCCTCCTCCTCCTCCTCCTCCTCCTCCTCCTCCTCCTCCTCCTCCTCCTCCTCCTCCTCCTCCTCCTCCTCCTCCTCCTCCCCCTCTCTCTCCTACATATGGTGGTGGTGGTGGTGGAAAAGGGGCCCATCATCGGAAGACGGTCCAGGACGGACCCTGGTACAGGGGTCCAGGAGCCGACTTTGAGCTGGTTGGGGTTGGGGGGGGCCGCCGTTGTCTCAGCTGTCCCTCCTCCGAGTATGGGAGGGGGTTGGGCGATCGAGATGGATGGGTTTGGGATCGATGGGGCGACGCTGGCGGCTTTGAGGTACGCCGAGTAATCTTTGCGGCATCCGGGATGCCACGCGGCAGCTAGGCCCGCGCAAAAGGAATAGCACAAACAAGCTCTGAATCCGAATTGGGCCTGGTGGACGGGAGAGGATGCCCCGTTTTCAACTTCCTTCGCCTCCACCTCCTCCCGGCCCTCCTCATTCTCCAACTCTGGCTCCAACTTGTCAGACTCCAGCTCCCGCCTCCGGACTGCAGCACGAATCCGAAGATCGTTCTCCTCTCTCTGACTCTTCCTCCAGTCTCTCCAGCCATTTCTTCCCTCCCCGCAGCGCCGGCACCCTTCCGACGCGAGCTCCCGTGTGTCCGACTCCTGCTCCCGACCTTAGCCGCGTCCGTGTACTGCCAGGCATGCCTAGGAGGATGATGAACCGCTCCAGAGCGTTCCGGCCGCGGCGCTCTCTCAGAGAGGAGGGAGCGGGAGGGCGAGGACGAGGAACACGAGGAGGTAGCACATGTGGATCACTCGGGGGCTTAGGCCATGCTGGGATGCGCGGTGAGCCGTTGTCGGAGACTCGTGCCGAGGATCCCAACCGCCGAGGGGAGGTGGAATTGGGGGGGAGACGTGTACGCACACATCGCGTGGGCTGTGCTTTCCCTGGCTTCTCTCGTCAGTGATCTCGGCCTCCCTGGGGCCACCGTCGCCGCCCAGGGCCATCACAAGGTAGACCGGACGAACAAACGGCGCCGGGAAAGGGGTGGGGAGTACTGGGGTTCCGGATTGAAATATCATTATCGGTTGTCTGGGTCTTGGGACGGGCTGATGGTAAGCTGGGGAGGGGAATGGGGGAAGGGGAGGACGGGAAGAGTTCGACGGGCGAAATACTTAGCCTTCGAAAGCGAAGTAAACAAGCACGCGCAGCAGTAGGAAGAGGAAGTGTACTTGGTGGGTACATGATTCATCGGCTGGTGACGTGCCAGGCACTACGACAGCCTACAGCCGTATGCGTCGCCAGAGGTGCCGCTTGCTGTGTTGCAGAGGAGGAAGAAGTGAACATGGACGAGACAGAAGGGCGGACGTATGAGTAACTGGCACGACGACGATGACGGCAAGTGAGACGAGAAGGGTACAGAAAGCGATGATGCCGACAGCAATCGAGGCTGTGATGGTGGCGATGGTGGCGGTGTGGAGCGGATTGAGGGGTACACACGGAGACGCATGCAGGATGACAAGTACGCAGTTGAGCATCAGCGCAGGAGGAGCACGGGGAGCTGTCCGATTTGGAGGCGGAGGCGAAATCAGGAGGATAGGGAGGAGGAGGAGGAGGAGGAGGAGGAGGAGGAGGAGGAGGAGGAAGCGGAGGAGGAGAAGGAGGAGGAGGAGGATGAGGAGGAGGAGGAGGGAAGAGGAGGAGGAGGAGGAGGAGGAGGAGGAGGAGGAGGAGGAGGAGAGGCATAAGGCTTAAGGGGGGGGGGAGGGGGAAGAGGAGGCGGAGGTGGATGGGGATGAGGAGAAGGAGGGGGTGGTGACGCCAGGGCGGCGCTGGACATCTGTAGACGCCTTGCGCACTAGTACCTTTTTCCGGAGGAGGACTTCTGCTGGCGTGCCTGTGTACGGGGCTTTGAAGCTGGTGGCCGCTCCATGGGCCTCGCAGAGCGGCGCTGTTCTGGATTCGCATGTAGGGGAACGAACAAAAAATAAAACATACAAACTCGGAGGTCCGCGCGGATTTGTCGGATCCGCGCTGGACCCCCTTGGCGGCGCCGCCGTCGCCGCCCCTGGCGCGCTCCGCGCGCCAGGGAGTGGGTCCAGCGCCGACCCGAGAAATCCGCGCGGACCTCCGAGTTTTTATGTGTAATGTCATTCTTCGTTCCCCTAGCGCGGCCTGCCTGCCTGACCAGCGTGGAACGCCACCGCGGGCGCCCGGCTGGAGTACGCTGCGCACTGCAGGGGCCTGCTGGCGGCGCGATGCCGCGCAGACTGGGCCGCTGCTGCGGCGCGCCACGGTGGTCTGGTTCCGCACTGCGCAGCCTTCCAAGGCGGAGCGCGTGCCCCACCGTGGCCACGGTCGACGTGGGCCGCCCGTTGGCAGCGGTCTTTGGCTCGTACTTGTGCCGGCTACCTACAGGTTGGGCACCTCGGTGGTCGCCGGTCCAGGGCCCGGGTGCAAACCTGTGCTCAGAGCGTGAATTACCTACCCCGCTTTCGCTTCCAGGCAAAACCAAGCCATACCACGCGCCTCCTCGTCAAGCGGCTTGATCAGTACAGGCTGCAATTTGGCATCGTTTGGTATCTCTTGGAAGCGAGGGTGGTCAAAAGCGAGGTAGGTTTCTTTTCCCCCTATGTGCGCTGTGTAGTGGGTGCATTGTGGCTGGGGTTGCGCAAGCCGTCCTGCTGCGCCCGGTGCTAGAGGGCCTCCGTGCCGCGCTGGTGGCTGCCCTGAGCTGGTCTGCCTCGCGCCCTGGCAGGACAGGCTGGCCTTCCTCCTGCAGTTGACGCCCAGGGAGCCCAGCTTCTGCGAGATGGCGCTGCTGGCGTCCACACTGGACGCGGCGCTAGCGCCCTTCTGGCCAGGGTCGGAATCATGCGCGAGTCGGTGCGACTTGTGCGCGGCGAGATGCCGAAGGATCTGCTCCCGAGGCTCTCCCTTGAGCCTGCCCTCCTCCTTTGGCTGTCCTTCAGCCCCCTCCCGTACTCGGCCCTCTTGATCACTAAGTCAAGCCAGACGCCCAGTCCCAAAAACGCGAGGGCGCGCCTCGAGACTTCGGGGAGGGAGAGTTCGGGTAGGGTTTCGCCAGGGCAACGACGACGAACGCAAAACATGCCCCGAAATCTTTGGCCGATCTTCGAATCCTCGGTGAATCCGCGATTTTGGGATTGGGGATGTGTTTTTTCGTGGTCACTGGAGGAGCGCAGCGGCGCCCGCCCGCGCGGCGCCCGAAGCTGTGGCGGAAGGCTCGTGCAGAATGTCGCACCCTCGGGGTGCCAGCCGCTTCCGGGAGCTCTGGCGGCAGGCGTGCGCGGGGGCGGGCCTCCACCCCAGCGGACATCTGGCCCCTCATTATCATTTTTCTTCTTCTTCTTCTTCTTAGTCTTCTCCTCCTCATCCTCCTCCTCCTCATCCCCCTCCGTAGCCATTTTGGCTCAAGCCTGCCTTGGGCGCCAGGCGGGCGGCAGCGTTGGGTCCGTGGTCTCTCTCTCCCTTCTGGGGGCAGCGCCTCCCCTCACGCCGCGGCCATGGCTCCGAGCGCGGCTGCGGTCCCGCCCCTTCGCGGGGACCCGGTGGCGGCGTTCGCCCCTGTGGCTCGGGCGGCGGCGGCGGGTGCGGCTGAGGGCGGAGGCGGTCGGCAGTGCGTGGCGGCCGCCGTCGCTGCAGCCCTCCGCACTGGCGCCATGCTGTTGGGCCAGGGCGAGCGCGGCAGCACGCCCCAGCAGGCGGTGAAGGCGGCGCTCCTCGACGAGGACGGCCAGCTGGAAGTCTCGGCGCGGCTCCAGGCGATCGAGCAGGCGTTGGTGCTGTAGGTCTCTGGGCGGCCAGTGCCTGGAGCCGTGCGCCCGGACCGCAACCTCGCCGCCCGCGTCGAGCTCGGAGGAGGCGCCGGGGTGCTCGACCTGCCGCCCAAGGAGAAGAGGCGGCTGACGCATAGAGCAGAGGCCTCCACGAGTCTCGGCCTGTCAACGGTTCTCACAGTCAGGAGTCTAAGTCGATGCGTTTGGGGGGTTGACAAGGCGGCCGTATCAAACCACCTGCCGGCCCTCGTTGTGTCCCCCTCCCCCTCTTCCCCCTCCTCCTTTCCCCTTCCTCCTCTCTCCCTTTCTCCCCCTCCTTCTCCTGGAGGGGCGCGGGGGCCAGGGGTTCGGTTTGGCGGTCGCACTGTTGATCCCCCGGTGGCTGAGCGGCCGCGTCAGGGGCAACGTATCCCCCAAGGGGTATGGCTAACCGACGCCCTCCCCAGGAGGGCGCCCCCTAACGGGTTATGCTCGGGGAGGGGACTTGTGCTGTATGTTCGGGCGCTGGCGGATAGTGCCACATTGTGATCGTCCCTTCTCCTGGTCTTATTGTGAGTGCGGGGGCGGGACTGCTCAAACCTCCCTGGATCCCATGCCAGAGAGGGCGGTTGGGGCTACGGCTCTTTCCCTCTCGGCCCCATCCGGGGGGAGGCCGGGGGTGCCCATGGTCCAGGCGACCCGGCTTATTCTGTCTAATTGTTCGTGTGCTTCCGATGTGGTGCCCGTAGTGGACCCTAAGTAGCTGGTTGAGGCAATTCGGTGAATCAGGTGCGATCTTCGACGTGCGCACTGGAAACCCAACAACGAAGCACCCAACATATGATTTTGTGAATTAATGTCTGGTTGCGTGTCTCAATAGATTAGTCTGGCCCCTGCGCATCGACGACACGCAAAGAAGTGAGTTGGGGCACAACGGTGTCGCGACCTGCGCTAGTCCCGCGCCCACCCTCCTTGGTTCCAGCGTTACGGACAGCCCAGCTTGGGCGTTCGTTTTGCCGCGCTTCCGGGCCGATGGCCCCAGCGCCGACGGCCTTCTTTAAGGACCATCTGGGGGGAGCAAACTCACTGCGCCCGGCGCCGGATTCCTCTGGTTGCCTGCTCCCCCCAAACCCATTCGCGGCGGGGGTTGTTGCTGGAACGCAGAGGGCGGTGGGGCAGCGGGCTGGCCTGGTCGCGGGTGGGTGGGTGGCGGAAGTGGAGTAGCATATGCCCTGAATAATGGATATTTGGTTGTCTGTCTGTGGTGGGTTTCGGTGTTTTTTGTCGTTGTTTGGGGTATCGATCGGGTGTGTGACTCTCCGCTTCTTCCACTCCCACTGGGGGCCATCATTCTCTGTTTTTCGTGTGGGGTCCAATGCGCCGTCTCGGGAGGTTTTTCCCTGCCGTCCCGGGGGCCGTTCGCGGCCGTCAACCCGGAGGACGAGGACGAGGACGAGGACGAGGAGAAGAGGCGGCGGCAGCGAGGCCGCAGACGCCGGCACGCGGACGTGGATTCCATCGAGAAGGCGAACGTGTCCGAGCAGGCGGACATCGCGGACCAGACGGACTCGACGACGGGTGGCTCGCAGCATCGAGAGCATGCAGTCCCAGTGCGAGGACATCGACGGCGGCAAGTTCCTGTTGAACGAGGCGACCATCAAGGAGATGCAGTGGGAGATCTCGGATCTGAAGGCGGAGCTTGAGGCCGAGACGGCACCCACAGCCGCGGTGGAAGCCGAAGTGAAGCTGTTGCAGCAGCAGCTGGACAACATCGCGAAGACGGTCTCCGAGGTCAACGCCATGGTCGCAGGGTTCGAAGCCGAGCCTGATGCCGTGAGGGCGGCGCTCACTTCGGCGACCAGGGGCAGCGAGCACCTGGCGCAGCAGGTCGCGGAGTTGGAGCCCAAGCAATCGGAGGCGGAGCTTGAGAAAACGAGCCTCCGAGCGGCGCTCGCGCCGAGAGAAAGCTAGACGAGGAGAGACCGACGCCGCCGCTGCCTGCCAGCAGACCCTCGACCTGGCGGAGAAGGTGGCGCGTGGGTGGCGCCCCGTCCGGGCAGGCGTCGAGACCGACAAGGTCGCACAGGCGCTGAGGCGAGGGCCCTCGCTCTGTCCTGCTGGGTCCGCCTCGACGTTTTGTGTGGTCTGCAGCTCGCGCTGGTGCGCGTGCCCGTGTCCCCCTCCTGGGGGCGGCCTGCGGAGGCCGTCTGGTCGCCCGTCCGTCCCCGCGGGGGGGGTTCTTTTCCGCTCCCCTGGCTGAGCCGTGGGGCAGGCCAGGGTTGTGACGGATGCCTGTCTGGGTTTCTCCGGGGTCCTTCCCTCGTCGCCACGGGCGCCCGCGGTCACGTGCGCGCGGCGGCGAGGGGCTCTCTTCTTGACACCAGGGGCCCTGGTGATTGTCAGCGTGCTGACGGCCGCCAGGGCCTCCTCTGATGACGTCCTTCTCAATCCATCCATCCGTCCCTCCTCCTCCATTTCCTTCTCCTCCTCCTCCTCCTCCTCCTCCTCCTCCTCCTCCTCCTCCTCCCCCTTCCTCCTCCTCATATTAGGGCGGGGTGGACGCGGTTCGCCTTTGCGGCAGCAGGCGTATGACGAGCCCCGGGCATCTCGCGAGCGGCCGGTTCGGGGGCGGGCCGTGCCCGCCCGACGGGCTCTTCCTTCGCCCGGGCGCGAGCAGGGCTGCTGCCGCCGCTGCAGGCCCAAGGAAGGAGGAAGAGGATGATGATGATGATGATGAGGAGGAGGAGGAGGAGGCGGAAGAGGAGGAGGAGGAGCAGGAGGGGGAGGAGGAGGAGGCGGAGGAGGAGGAGGAGGAGGAGGAGGAGGAGGAGGAGGCGGAGGCGGAGGCGGAGGAGGCGGAGGAGGAGGCGGAGGACGGGGGAGTGCATCGACCCCCATGGCCCACTCACTGCCGATGGGCTCCAGAACTTTTGCATCGCGCGTCGCTCCGCCGGTTCTGGCCCACCACGCTCCGGCGCTACGCGCTATCCGCTTCCTGGTCTCGAGGCGTCGCCATCCCGAGCTTTTCCCAGCACCCCGGGCCGCGGAGCGGAGTGGCACGCCATCCGCTCGCAAGGCACGGCGTGATGCCAGGGCCGCCACGGCGACGAGCCATGCAAAAGTTCCTGGCAGTAGGGTCAAGGGCGCCAAGGGGAGGGGTGCAGCGACCCCTAATCGCCCAGTCGTCGCCCATGGGGCCCGATATCCGATAGCCCCCCCCCCGCCCAAGAACGTGCGGACCTGATGTCGGGGGCAAATCGCCGATCGATCGGCGATGTATCGCCAAGTCCAGCTCGGTCTTTCCCCCAATGGGCCAGTCCCCAGTCCCCTCACCACGTTTCCTTTCAAGAGGGGGAGGGAAGGGAGGAGGAAGAAGGGAGCAGGAGGGCGTGAGGGAGGAGGAGGAGGAGGACGAAAAGGAGGAGGAGGAGAAGGAGGTGAAGGAGGATCGATCGATCGAACAATCGAGCCAGTATGAGGACGAGGAGGAGGAGGAGGAGGAGGAGGAGGAGGAGGAGGAGGAGGAGGAGAGAAGAGAGGAGGAGGAGAAGAGAGGAGGAGGAAGAGGAGGAGAAGAGAGGGGGAGGAGGAGGAGGTGGAGGTGGAGGAGGAGAAGGTGGAGGAGGAGGAGGAGGAGGAGGAGGACGAATGACTGTATGCAGGGAGGGCCTGTAGGCCGAGGAGATGCCTGCAGGCGGCAGGGAGGGCCGGTCGGCAGAGCAGGGCCCACGGCCGGGGGGGGGCCTTGAGGCAGGGGAGGGCCCACCCCCAGGCCTTGGCATCGCTCGGACGTGTGCACTTTTTCCTTCGGCGAGGACCATCGAGGAGCATCCTGGATCATTTGGCGAAAAAGCCACGCACGAAACCGAACAAACACACGCAGGGAAGGGGCGTCCGAGCGATGGCCAGGGGCAGGGGTGGATGGTCTGGAGGGAGAGGGAGGAGGGAGGCGAGGAAGCAGCGAGAGGGAGCAAGAGGGTGGGGATGGATCGAGAAGGAAGCGGAGGAGGAGGAGGTGGGGGAGTAGGAGGAGGAGGCGCCGGCGACCGCAGGTGCTGGGCGTGCCGCTGGAGTCGATCTATCCCGTGGGGCTGCCGCCGCGCCTGTGCTTCTGGCCCCCCCGAGGTGAGGATGGGGCACCCCCCTGGGGCCACGAGCGGCGAGCGTGTCCACGTTCATACCCACGGCGGCACTTACATGTCTGCCTCCTCCTCCTCCTCCTCCTCCTTCTCTTCCTCCTCCTTCTCTTCCTCCTCCTCCTCCTCCTACTCCTCCTCCTCCTCCTCCTCCTCCTCCTCCCACCTCCTCCTCCTCCTTCCCTCCTCCTCCTTCCCTCCTCCTCTGGGATGAAAAGCCACACCGCTACGGTGAGCAGAAGAGAGCGGCGAACGTGTCCGTGCTCATACCCACGCCAGCACATCCACGTCTGTCGCCACACCACTGTGAACCGAAGAGGGCGGCGAGCATGTCCACATCCACGCTCTCGCGGTCTGCGCTGCGGGGCGCGACTCGACCCTGTGCTTGTGCTCCGCGTGGCGCATTCGCGGAACACAGCCCCGCATCCATGGGGACGCGGCCCGGGGGCCCCGCCTGCGAGGCCGTAGGTATGGATGTGTTTCGCCCCCACGGGGGGGAGGTCCCAGATCATCAAAAACCAAATCTCCAAATTCAAGGATTCCTTGAAGCGGTGTTGGACCCCCTTTTGGCAGCGCCTCAGGTGTCGCCCCTGACGCGCTGCGCGCCCCAGGGAGGGGGATCCGAGAAAACGTTGGTGTTGATGTAGTGTTTGTTATTATTTTTCGTATGTAGACGGGCATTGAGCGTCTCTCGTATATTTCTATATGGTTTTCCTTAGACTCGAGAGACTCCTGCGACCGCCCGGATTGCTCCCAGAGTTGGTGCCTTCTGGGGCTGCGGGACGCTCCGGGGGGCCAGTTGGGCGGGGCGTGGCGGGGCGCGGCTGGGCTGGGCGACGAGGGGGGGAGAAGGAGGAGGAGCCTCAAGGTTCAAGAGGGTCGAGGATCGAGTTCCGAGAAGGTGCTTGAATTCCTGTTTGCCCTTTGGGTCTCCAGGAGGCTCTTCATTACCACGGCTGGGCTTCCCTCGAACCTATGTTCAGGGGAGGTATCGGTGCCTCTCGGTGCCCATTTTCAGAAGAGGAGGAGGAGGACGACGAGGACCAGACTAAACTCAATCTGTATCAGCGATGCTGCAATCACCACTCCCGCCCGAAGTTTCCCCATTACCAGTGATCGGTCCCATCAGTCGTACTCTTTTCCTTGTGCCAATCGCCCCCTCTTGCAAGACGGGTGCCCCTATGGGCATGCGATTCAGGCGGGCGCGAGCTCCGTTGTGACACACTCGCCTGCAATATATTTCGGGTGGTATGAGACGCGGCAAGTTCGGGCGTTCAGCTCAAGGAAGCGTCCAACGACAGACACAATTTGAAAAGGTACTCCAGATTTCGTAATAAAGGGAGGGGGGTCTCATTTCGGGGGGGGTCTCTTCCAGGCTATCTTGGAGGGCCTGGGGGGGTCTGGGGACGATGTTTTGGAGGGTTCTCCCACGGGGGGTCTGAAATGGCTTGTCTTGGAGGGTCCAGACCCCCTCCCTTTTATCACGAAATCTGGAGTACCGCTCCGCATCGAAATAGCTGTTGCACGCATCGCAGCTTCTGGGCATAAAAAAGGCTGACAACGTCTCGGGCGGCATCCCCAATTGCCAGCATCAGTTGCGCTGCATCCTTGTAGCAGCTGCGCAGGCTTAAGCTTGTGGTGGTGGTTATTTCTAGGGGACGTACCAGGCGATAACGCCATTTTGAATAGGAGCCGCGCTCCATCCTCGTGCATATCTGGTCGGTTAACACGAGAGTGCCTGGCGTTGAGGCGAGGGTTTTAGTTCGAAAACGTTCCCGTCTCCATGTGTGTACTTGTTGCAATATCTTAAGACGATTATGCGCGACGCTTGGGCGAGAGCCATTTTTCCAACATGTACCATCCTCCATCAGTGTATTTGTCAGAATCTGCAAGCTCCTGGATCGCACTTCCCACTGAGTTCTCAAGCGAAGCGCCCCGCCCAGCCTACGGGCACGTCTGGTGCTGCGACGGGGAGGAGAAGTTTGAGGAGGAGGATGTGGAGGAGGAGGAAGATAGGGATGAGGAGGAGGAGGAGGAGGAGGCGGAGGAGGAGGAGGAGGACGAGGACGACGAGGACGAGGACGAGGACGACGAGTCCGTCGCCATTCTTGCTCAAGTGCGAAGCCTTCGCCATGCGGCCGCGTGCCTGACTGCAGTCGAGGGGCCGGCCCACGGCGCAGCGCGGCTCCTGCGCGAGCGCCCCGCGCACGGGGCGCTCGCGCGGGAGCCGCGTGACTCGAGCTTTTGGCGGCCGTCTGGCTTCTCGACTGCAGAGGCGACGTCTGTTTGGCTGTCGTCTCCAGAGGCGCCCCCCTCTCCAACGGCACCCTCTAGAGTCAGGGAGGAAAAAGCACACAGGCACAATTCATCGGCGATTCCCAGGAAGATATGGGAAACTATGGGGAGTGGGGGGGAGGAAAAAACCCAGAAAATATGGAAAGATATGGGGAATGTTTTTCTTTGTGTGTACTTATTTGTGTGTCCTGGGGCCCCTTCACAGATGCAGCGCGGGCGCGCCGGGCCCCTGCGCGGTGTTTCTCAGGCAGAGTGGGCGGGGGGGCAGGGAGAGGCAATGACTTTTCTCGCCTTCGCGCGGGAAGTCGCGCTGCCCGCTTGGCGCCCATGGGGAGATCGGGGGGGGGGGGCCCTATTTTTCTCAAACGTAGTCGCCGCCTTCGGCCCAGCGGCGAGCAAACGCGCACCCGGCCACCCCGTGGAAGAGGAGCAGCTCGGGGGAGCGACTGCGGAGCTTCCATTCACAGAGGCTTTTCAGCATATCGTCTTGCAGCTTGCGGAGCGCCCCATTCTGGGGGGGCGCGTGGTCGACCGACATATCGTGGCCATGCTCCGAAGTGCGAGGTGCGCAGACTTGTTATTCTTGGGGCCGCAGCGAGAATCTGGAATTTTGCTGGGTCGAAGCCAGGTGCGGCTTCCGCCTGCGACGTGTCCTACGCGGCCCTCGCGCTGCTTTGCTTCGGGCGTCCAGACGCAGCCCGAGAGTCAGTGCATCCGCGCCCCGTGCCTCCCGCCCAAGGGCCGTTCGCTCCCCCCTCCGAGGACAGCATCTCGCCCGCTGCGCCGCCTGCGCTCGCCGGCGATCCCGCGCCCCTTTGGAGCGCGTGGCGGTGCGCTTCATCTGCACGCCCGAAATGGGTACTGAAAGAATGGGTACGATGCCCAACAGCAGCTCCTGTTCATTTTGAACAGGGCTCGCTGTCCGCGCCGCCGCGGCCTGTGTCCATTCGAGACAGAAGGCCGCCTGCCCAACAGCGGCCGCTGTTGGTTTGGGACAACATTTGCTGTTGGGCATTGTACCCATTCTTTCGGTACCCATTTCGGGTGCCCAAACTTCAGGCGCCCGGGATAGCTGGCGCCAGGTTTGACGTGGCGCGTCAGCACGCTGCTTCCAGGGATTGCAGTTGGACGCGGGCAAACCAGTCTCGACGGCACGTCCTGCGCGAGGGAGTGCGAAGGTAGCCGAGGGCTCAGCGTTTGGCCCAGTAGACGACGACATGGTTACCGGCGTCTGCGGAGCGCCCGCAGATGCCATCCGGAAGCGCAGAGATGTTCGGGGCGCCTCTCGCCGACAAGGGCCCCATGAACGATGGACTTGCCCGCCGCGTCTCGCGCGTGCGACTCGATTTGAGGCCCGCCGGGGCAGTCTTGCCCCCTGCGAGGCCCTGGGGGCCCGGCCAAAGTCAACGATGGCGACCGCTCTGTTGCGTCCACGTCGCTTGGCAATGCTTGTACGCGGGGGTCGCCGACGCAGCTCCCGTGCTGTTGCAGTGCTTCTCTCGGCGCAGGCGGGCGCGCGCAGACGCCGCAACACCGCGCTCCATCCCTTCCTCCCTACAGCGCTGTCCTCCCCAGAATCAGCAGAGCCCCTTTTTTTCGGATGTTGTTGCCGGAGTGCCGCGGCTTCGATGGTTCGTCCGATTGTGTCGGCGCGGATCGATCTCGCGTCTCAGGACTCTTCAGGAGGGAAAAACACACAGACACCATTAATCGGCGATTCCCCCGAAAATATGCGAAAATATGGCAAGTGGGGGGAAGACAGAAACCCAGAAAATATAGGAAAATATGGGGAATCTTTTTATTTGTGTGTATTTATTTGTGTGTTTGTGGGCCCCTTGAACTATTGACTTCGCCTCGAGCCTCAACAGGGGCCTGGGCCCGCGCCCTCAGGGGCGGATTCCGCGTGGCTTCGCAAGGTTGTGTGTTTGGGGGGATCCCCCGTGAGGAGGTGCAAGCAGCACGCTCGCGGTGCTCAGTATCGGGCCGGGCGAAAGGGGGGGATTGGGAAAGGGGGGGTTACGAAATCTGCTGCACGCAGCTGGTTTCGGCCTCACCGAGGGGCCCATTCCTCGATACATGGGCGCCTCCCGGCGCCGGGAGGCGCGGGGAAAATCAGCTACGTGAGCTGATTCTCAAACCCCCCCTTTGCTATCCCCCCTTTCGCCCGACCCGAGACCAGGCGCAAGGAAAGGTGGTTGATTGCACAGCGAGTTCTCCGACCATCAGTCACTGGACGTTGGGGGGTGAGGTCGACGTGGAACGAAGAGCCCCCCGCTGGGACATCGGTTTCGGTTTCGCATCCGCGTCGCACTTGCGCGCGGGGCGAAGCTGCGCGGCCGGGCGAGAGGGACGATCCTTCCTGGCTGAGGCCCCGCCAGACCAAAAAACGCTCCCCCCCTAGGCCGGCGATGGCTGAGGATGTCCCGTCGTGGTGTCCCATGGTGTCCCGTGGTGGTGTCCCGCGGTGTCCCGTGGTGTCCCGGAGGTGTCCACATGCCGTTTTGGTGGTGTTTCGGCGGTGTCCCGGTGGTGTCCCGATGGTTTCCCGATGGTGCACCGATGGGTGTCCCGATGGTGTCCCGATGATTTCCCGATGGTGCCCCGATGGTGTCCCGATTGTGTCGGGTGATGTCCCGTGGTGTCTACATGGTGTCCCGATGGTGTCCAGATGGTGCCCCGATGGTGCCCCGATGA